CTGCCGGCAGCGGGGGCGGGGCGCGCCCTACCGTACTCTCTGGAGTAGCCGCCCCCCTCTCCGGGGCAGCCGGAGGGGCAAGCGGATCTCCGCACTGCTAGCCACAGAGGATCCAGGAGGCGGCTCGCTGAGGTAGGGGGACGGCAGAGCCTCTGTAAAACGCGTGTGGTTTAATAACGCGGTCATCGAATAGCGCGCCGTCCTTCCAGGAAGGAACTCCTGCCCGCACGCTGTTCTCCTCCAGCAGGTTGTATCGGGGTACACCACAGAACTGGTGGAAGAGTGAAGGAACACTCACTTTTGGCTGCCTTTGAACTCGTCCTGGTGCCGCTGCCGAAGTCACTTCCCCTGCAACAGCAGCAGAGCCCGCAACACTGGGAATTTCACAGGAATAAATGTGAAATTCACAGGAATAAATGTGAAACTCACACAGGTGGTGAGACACTGGCCCAGGTTGCCCAGAGAAGCTGTGGGTGCCCCATCCCTGGAGGGGTTCAAGGCCAGGCTGGATGGGGCTTGGAGCAACCTGGTCTGGTGGGAGGTGTCCCTGCCCAGGGCAGGGGGTTGGAACTCCATGATCTTTAAGGTCCTTTCCAACTCTAACCATGCTATGATTCTATGAAACCCTGCTTAGGCTCACAAACTGATTTAGCACCTTTAAATGTAGAGCGTGACAGCAATACAAATGTTCTGGCTGCCCTGTGGAGTTGAAGCTGTGGAAAGAACGGAGACTCCATCCTTGGAATGGGCAGAGCAGGGAAAGTGGAGCCAGCGTGTCCCTCAGGGCGCGAGCGCTGGCAGTGACCTGGGCCACATGGCTGCTCCAGGGACCACTCTGTGGTCTCTCACCACTCCATAGGGCTTTTTGATCCACTTAAGTTTTCATTTAAGTGCCACAAACCCACTGCTGAAGCCACTACCAGCACTACCCTTCAGCTGCCTGGTCAGGACCCTGCTGAGGTGAAGGACCAGCGTATTGTAACTGATCCATCTCGTGCAAAAAGGTGAACCTCCTGCCCCACGGCCCTGCTTTCTAACGTCAGGTTTACTTTTAGGCCAAATCATCCAAGAGCTGGTCCTTGGCTACTTAAATGGCACTCAGCAGTGAGGCTCTGCAGCCCGGCCATTCTACAGTGCTGTCACAACAAGCCTTGGCTAACGGGATCCAAATTGTTCACTGTTACCTTGCAGTCTCGTAACCACGCGGGCTGCCAGGTCAGGACCCTGCCGAGGTGAAGGACCAGCGTACTGTAAATGATCCATCTCGTGCCAAAGGGTGAACCTCCTGCCCCACAGCCCTACTCTCTAACATCAGGTTTACTTTTAGGACAAATCTTCCAAGAGCTGGTCCTTGGCTACTTAAATGGCACTCAGCAGTGAAGCTCTGCAGCCTGGCCATTCTACAGTGCTGTCACAAGAAGCCTTGGCTAACAGGATCCAAATTGTTCACTGTTACCTTGCAGTGAACAATTACTTTGTCAGAATTTCATCCAACTCGGATTCTGAGCAGATGTGAAAAATATAAATTACTTCATGCTGAGAGAAAATAGCAATACTAAATGAGAAACTACCGAAAAACCACAATGCGTAAACATACTCCCTCTTCTGAAAATACACACACTACAATAAAATCCTACCAAACTTTATACTTAATAAAAAAAAAAAAGAGTACCTTGAAATCCTCAAACTATATAAATTTTTGATTTTATACTATCAGTAAATTCTCTTTCATCTAAAGGTGTTGGCTATGTCTGCAACTCAATGTGAGAGTAAATGACAGGGTTAAAAGAGCCAAGTTCCTGGGAACAGGGCTGTAAGAGAAATAAATACACTCTCTACACGTCAGGTGTAGAAAGCAAATTGTACCCCACACTATCTAGTGAGTAATACATTTCAAAAATTCACTGTCCTACAACTGAGCCAAAGCTCCAGACCAGCAAAGACAGGTGTTTATACACTGCTTCAATACAAGCTGAACAACTCCAAGGGCTCTTAACGTAACAACAGAGGACAACAGATCCCTAGGAAGCTGTTTGAAAACCTGAAAGTTCCTTCAGCACAAACCCTCTGTTAGAGTTACTGATATTACAGCTGATGGCCTTCAGTCACTAAGAAGCCAAACTAGAACTTGATCTCTCACATGCAAACCTTACCTACACCTACTTCTAAGCAAGTCTGACATCTGCCTATCAGGTAACACTACAAAATGTAACATCAAGAAACAAGTTTTATTCTTGCAAAGACTATTACAGGTTTGACCCTGAATTTATAAGGACCACCATCCTGTCTCCAGAGTCCCATGTTGTCATCTTTACCTGAAAAACCATTGAAGGTATTTGTGATCCAGGATCCTTCTCTCCTCTGGAGAAATAAAATGAAAAACTTCATTATCTTTGGATAAAATAAAGCTATGAAGATATCATGGTATTATGAACACAGTACGTCTGTAGGTGAATGTTAAGGATTATAAACTCCTGGAAAATCAAATCCACGGGGAAAGGAAACCCAGATTAAAATGCATGAGGTTTAGAGGAATGCTTCAGGCCACTTCGACAAAAGTCAAAATATTTGTACTTCACTTGTTTTCAAAGTTAAAGGGATGAATAGTATGAAATTTACTCAAGTATGCAATGATATCTTCTACTTCCGTCTCAGGAAAAGCCCTCAGTTATCATTTACATTGTTCATTTACACTGCACTTTTGCAAAGTCTGACAATTACAGAACTATTTCTAGTTGTTTGTAAAAATTATAGCACTGATAATTTAGATAATGGAAATAGTTATGTATTATAACGTATTTCATATAGAAATATGTTTCCAATTGAAACACATTCCTACTTTATTTCCATGTGTTTCCTGGATAGATAAACAGTTTTATTCCTCTTTTTACTTGCTAAACTAAATGCATATTTTGTATCTGATTACCTTTTTAACGTACGTGCCAAATATATATCTAAAATATATTATGTATTGTATCTGTGAGATTATGTCAGATTTATTTGTTATTATTAGTCATGTAGAGCCAATTGTGCTCATAAGTTGCAAAGCTTCATGTTTCTATTTATCAAAGGGACAGCAAGTTCTATTAATTACTTGCCCAAAATATTGTAGATGATGCATTTTCATTCTTCAGCGCTCCATTAAACAAACAGCAGCCAAATTCACTTCTTCATCAGAAAGATGCACCAGAAGATGTGAAGTAGTCTTTCTACATTTCTGAAGAAAACTTTTTCATTACAGTTCTAAAAAACTCAGTATGCTTTTCACAGAAGAAAGGGACACAAATTTCTTAGAGATGCTCCTTCATACTTTACATGGATGGAGAAGCAGAATGGCTGATGCCCCCATTTCTTCACTGAAATCAGCATATAAATATTTCTTTTACAAGGAAAGCATTACCAGACAAAAAAGGCTGGGAGTTCTTAGACTTTAAAAAAACTAATTCTGAGGCAGTCTTAAGTGTCAGTTAGGCAAGAATAAACTCTCTGATGAAATTTTTTCCTTATCTTTCACAGACTTGTCTTATGCAAATTTGAACTCATCCGGAGAAGATGGCGCCAACTGGTTCATAATTCAGCTTCCAGTCCAACATTCTTGCTAGAGACTACATTGGTTAAGGTCTAAAAGTTAATTAGTGCTGAAGTTCTCTGGAAATGCATCAAAAGTTTCTGGGGACTTCATCAAGGCTTTGGTCCAAGTCAAATCAGCATCTGAAATTCGATGTCATTAACCTCTTAATACAAAACTGCAGTTCATACACCACACATCTTCAATTTCTGCATGTAAAAAAACGGGACACAAGAAAATTTAGGCTGAATATTAAAACCATCCATCAACTTTAGATCAATGGGCAGAAAAAATCTATTTTTAAGCAAGTACTTATTTTTTTCTGCATATCAACAAAACACTTTGCACAGTATTTAAACTGCTGGTTCAGTTCTGTACAAGAGTGAAGATGTTTCCTCATGAAGACATGTCATATTCAGTGGATTTCCAGCAAGAAAAATCAATCTTTATCGGCCTGGAAGATTTTTCTGTCATTAGCAGAAGTTCCGTGTAGAGAATTATCTGGAACCAGAATACATTTCACGGTCTAATGACAGAGAAACCAGATTAATTCTACATGAGGTGCTGTGTTTAAAGACAGGTAAATTATGGCTTTAAAACCAGCTTTTCTACTTTTAGCAAATTTTTTGAGCTTCTTGTTGCATTTTCTCCTTAATGCTGTATTTCTTTCAGTTCATCAGGATCTGCCTCTATTCACATTGTCAATCTTGTTCGCATTTATCTGCTGCCTTAGAAGAGATTAATGTGACTGGGAATTCCTGTTCTGAGAGTGCTCAGGGGGTCTCTCCTCTCTTTAGTCTATTTCTGCAGCCCTCCACTTCCATGTATTTCAGTTCTTGAAATCATTTTATCTTTACCACCTCAATTTAAATTACATTAAGTCCAAATCTTATATTGCTAGGAAGTTATTAACTTCATTTGCTCCTCTCCAGAGGTATTTGTTGTTATTCCATGCTTTACTTATACATACAAGCATTCCTCATTTATTTATAGATACAAGCATTTCTTCTACTTATTCATGCAAGCATTATGAGCTGCGAGACACACAATTTACTTTCAGTAGCCTGTTATGTTTAAGAACCAGTATGTGACCATGTCAGATGCCTACAGTTTTAGGAAAGAGCTGAGGTTATGCAAGCAATCTTTGCACTGCAGGACCCCATCCTCTGAGCCACATTTCAAAGAATCATAGAATGGTTTGGGTTGGAAGGGACCTTCAAGATCGAGTTCCAACCCCCCTGCCATGGGCAAGGACACCTCCACCAGCCCAGGTTGCTCCAAGCCCCATCCAGCCTGGCCTTGAACCCCTCCAGGGATGGGGCAGCCACAGCTTCTCTGGGCAACTTGTTCCAGTGCCTCACCACCCTCAGGAGTAAAAAATTTCTTCCTGAGATCTCATCTAAATCTCTCCTCCTCCAGTTTAAAACCCTTACCCCTTGTCCTACCCTCCACTCCCTGATCAGGAGTCCCTCCCCACCTCTCCCGTAGCCCCCTTTAGGGACTGGAAGGGGCTCTGAGGTCTCCCCGGAGCCTGCTCTTCTCCAGGCTGAACACCCCCAACCCTCTCAGCCTGACAGACGTTGGGAGTTAGGATCTTATTAAATACTGCTTTTACCTCACGAAATAGACCTCCCTTGAACCAGGAGGACTAGCGCACTGTATCACCACTTCTGTCAAAAAGCAAGGCCTGTGGAGGGGAACCTGAGGGAAAGGACCCAGGCCGGCGAGCGAAACCCGGCCCAAGAGGGAAGACCAGGCCCGAGGGGCGGTGGAAGCTCCCCCGCTCTCCCCCCCAGTCCCGGACTACGCTAATTTATCGTTACTACGCGCTCACATCTCTCCCGTTCTCGTTCTCTCCGGTTTTGTCCCCTCTCGAGGGCGGGCGGTGGGGCGGTCCCTCAGGAGGACGGGCCGCCGCTGTTTCCCGCCCCGCCGGCTCTGCCCGCGCATGCGCATCCCCCGCCTGGGCGCCAGGCGCGCACGGTGAGTGGCGGCGGGGCCCGGCCTGAGGGAGCGGAGTGGGGCTTTCCCTGCTCGCCGCCGCCTCCTCGGGGGCTCCGTTCCCCTCGGAGGGTGGGGTGGAGGCGGTTCGCGGCCCTCGGCCCGTGGTGTGGGTTTGCCGGTGGGTGCCCGGCTCGTCCCTCCTTCCCTCAGCGCGTCCCCGCGGTCTCAGCGGCTGGTCCCGCGGGCCTCGGGGGGAGGGCCGGCGGCCTTCCTTCTCCGGTGCCCCGCGGTGCGGCTCCGGGGTCGGCCTGCGCTAAAATCATCGCGTATTGACCCACTTTAAGAAGCAGCAGAAGGGAATTATGTCTTACTGTAGTGCCTTGGAGCGAAAGCAGAGCAAAGCGCAGCCCTTTTTCCTGCCAGCCCTTTGCTGTAACAGAAACACTTTAGTTCTGCTGTTTGGGTTTTTTGGGGGTTTTGGGGGGGTTTTTTGGGGGTTTTGGGGGGGATTTTTGGGGGTTTTTTTTGTTTATTTTTGTTGTGTTTTTTTTTTTTTTTTTGTTGTGTTTTTTTTTTTTTTTTTGTTGTGTTTTTTTTTTTTTTTTTGTTGTGTTTTTTTTTTTTTTTTTGTTGTGTTTTTTTTTTTTTTTTTGTTGTGTTTTTTTTTTTTTCCCTTCTAGTACCTAGCGGTCTATTTTACAGAAAAGACTGGGAAGCTTAATTAATTTGGGACACCTGATTTTAGTTGGAAGGAGCACTGTTGGAGATGGAGTATGGCATTACTGTGGGGTGGATCCCGGCAGTCCCTGGTCTGTGAAACACCTGGGGCTTGTGTGGGAACCTCCAAATTAATGAGCTGGGGTCATTAATTTGTGCCAGGGATGCCCGAAGTGCAGCAGGGATGAGAAGCTCAGGGTGGGAACAGCTGGGCCTGGCGTTGGGGCTGCTCTTAAGTCTTAATGAAGCTCTGGTTTGGGAAAATAAAAACAGCAAGCAGGCTGGCACATCATCCTTAAGGGCTCTAAAAGAGCTAGTGGATTTTTATTACCTCTTGTCTCGTGTAGTTACACAGTGTGTGGTGGTTAAATAGATAAGAAGAAGGTCCACAGAAGTGTACATTAGTTTGCAGGTGTTTTTCAAGCCAGGTGTTTCCTATCTAGTTAGAACTCAATAAGCACCCTGCAGTTTCTCTGCCTGGAAGGGGTGGGAATGTTGCATCAAGTGATATGGTGAAATGGGGAGTTTAATTTTTTTGATAGCTGTCTAATGAGGTAGGTTACCCGTAAGAAAGAAAAAAAACCTAATCTGTTAATTGAGCGCTATTAATGGTTAATGCTCTGTGGTTACTTGTGAAATTGTCAGAATGAGGATATGCTGAATATAGCGGGTACTTTCCTGTGCTCTAAATGTTTACGTTCATTTACATTAAGTTGTTTCATTAAGGTGCAGAGAGATGGTGCCTTCCAGTTCTTGATAACGTGCTTTTTTTGTTGTTGTCATTAGCATGTGGAAGATAATTCTGTGAGAATCTGAAATGGTTGTCTTGTAGAATTTTGAAGAGATGCCATTTGCTCTCATAAATTGGAAATTCCAATAATCTTCTCTTGTTTTCCTGTTTTGATAGGGCCGCAGAGCCTGGTGGTTGCTTTTCCTGCTGAATTCATCATGATAACTCCAGCTTTTGAGCTGACCCAGGATCCGGATTTTCTTACAATAATAATCAAAGTACCTTATGCCAGAGCTTCAGAGTTTGATGTGTATTTTGAAGGGGAAGATTTTAAATTTTATGCTAAGCCGTACTTTCTCAGGCAAGTAGCGGAAGGATTTTAAAAAAATTGAACTTAATAAAAATTATTCTGAATAAGCAGTGTAAGGACTCTAGATGAGTTCTCATATCCTGTCACTGTGGGTTAGTTTAGGGTTTTTAAATTGCTGAGTCTTCCAAGGGTTGTACATAGTGCCAAGGTCATAATCTCTGTGGTGGCTGTGGCTTCATCCAAGCTGGGAAATCGGGAGTCGTAACTTCTGTCTCTCAGATGCTGATCTTTTGTAGCAGCAGCTAGGGGAAAAGATTTTGAAGTACGTGGGGATTTAACTGCATGACTCCTGTTGACACTAATGGAAGTCATGCAGTTAAGTCCTTTGTACTGCTTTTGGAATGTGCCTTACATTTTTATAGGCTGAGACATTAAATTTCAGAATTAGTCAAGCATTCAATGAGACATCTCATTTTTTGCCCACAGATTGACACTTCCTGGAAGAATTGTAGAAGATGGCAGAGAAAAAGCATCTTATAATACAGATGAAGGTATTAGTTAATGTTCTTAGTATGTGTGTCATTACAAATGTTACTAAGTCTGCAATAATTTATGCTTTGCTGCACTGGAATTGCACAGAATTTATTGAAGTATACAATACTGTAAATAAATGTAGAGTTTCTTGTATGTAGTATAAAAAAAGTCTTGCTGGGGATTTATTGTACTTATTTAGGCCATTCTTAAGCACAAAGGACATGTTCAAAACTGTCCTAATAGTGAAAAAAATATCTACCTCCTTGAGCTCTGTTGGGACTAGACATGTCATTGTACCAAGATCGTTAATTTAGTAAATCTACAAAGAAGTCAGGTAGTGCTGAGTAGAAATGAGATAATCCTGAGGTGGTCCCTTGGCTATGTCTTAAGAGAAAAGACATCAGCTTTTCTCCACACCTTAAGGTGGAAGGTATTTCTGGAATAACATATGTACCTTTTGGAATTAATGTATTCATTTTTAAAAAAAAAAACAAAACAAACAGAAATAAAACCTATAATTTTCTCCTTGACTTAAGACAATAATCAGATTGCTGAATGTAGTTTCCTGTGGTCTGTTGAATGTTGATTGGTAGAAGGATCCAAAATAAAGCTTTTGTGTCTATACAATGTGAGTCAAGAGACCACAGCTGGTTAAATAGTCTCTTCTGTGCTTTGTCATTAAAGTTTAATTTTGTGAAACTTGTCAAGTAAGGTTAAAAACACGCAGAGATTGAAGCATAGTAAAATGTAACCTGCACATGTCCCGGTTTCTGTGAGCCTTTTTCATTGGTGGAAAAATGTACATTTTTGTTTTTCTTGGATATTTTAATGCAATAACTGTGTTCTGACTTCCCTTTAAGGAACTTTTACAATTCGGTTACCTAAGGAGGTTCCTGGCCAATATTTTGAGGGACTGGACATGCTGACATCTCTCTTGGCACCAAAGAAATCAAGATCAGGAAAACCTTTAGTAGAAGAGATAGGTATGGCAAAAAAATCCTATTTATACTGGTGATTCATGTATGTAAGGAAATAGTTAATAGTTACAGATCTACATGGTGGTTCATGTAGGAAAATAGAGTATTTCTATTATTGTCTATCCAAGGTATGAGAAGGATATGTGAATGAATCTGAAAGTTTGGCTAAGTATAAAAATACATGTCATCTTTATAGGTTTAGTTATATTTCTGTTTTTTCCAAAATGTGCTTTACATATGCTAATCCTCTGCAGATCTTTGTACCCCTCTAGTGGCTGTATAATACACACACACTTGAGTCTTTTGCATTCTGCAAGATAGCAATACTGGACTTTCAGCTCAGATTTCAGCAGCTAATTAAAACCACAGGTTCTAGTGGATGACTTGCTGAACATCGCTATTTAACGTGCAAAAAGGCTTGACTCTCTGTGTTTAATGTTTTTAATATTTATTTGAAATTATTGATAACATCACTTTGCTCCTGTCAAGGGTTCTCTTAGTATCAAAATCTGATCTTGTTGAAATCAGTGGAACGATTTTATTTCAGTCTTTGAGTGAATATACTTAAAAAATTTAGTGTTCCTGGTTTTCATTTTTGAAAGTTTGAGAATTTGGAGCAGGACCTATGGATTACTGATGTTTCTGCCTTTGTGACCCAGTGTCATGTAAGATTTCTTAAAACGTGTAGTGAAATGAGAAAAACTTATTGTGTTATCAGTGTTTCCCTTTCTATTGAATGTTATATATTTTCTATGTAATAATTTTCTTTCTCTGATGATGCAATAGATACAGCTGCCTCTGCTGAGTTGTCTGAGGAGGAGGAAGAAGAATTTGACTGGGAAATAGAGCAGACCCCTTACAAAGAAAGTGCAGAAATCGCGCTACCGCTCCAGTACCGTTACGGCTTTGGGAATTTGAGGTCAGGGGTGTTCCAGCGGCTGCAGGTAGATGCATTTTTGTCTTTTCCTATCTTAACAGTTCTGGGTAACTTTCTTGCTAGGTAGGCTTCCTGGCTCGTTCTATAGTCAGGAGCTTCTTCTCTATTACCCTATCCTGCAACTCAGAATATTCTGCTTTTGCACATAGTATCACAGACAGATCCATATTCCTGCAGAACTTAGGGGGTGGTGAGGACTGAGTTAATTGTGTAGCTGATCTGTTTCTGCAGTAGTTTCAGTATTAGAGGAAAGGACTGAAAGAGGCTCAAATATTTTACCATTTTTCCTTGGTAAAAATGGTCTGTGGAGGTGAGCTGCTCTCACCAGCACTATTCAGGTCGCTTGTAAAGGTAGGGAGAAAAAACAGCAGGCTGTTAACATTTTTGTTTTATGTTTGGTATTGTCTTCTATTCTGACTTCAAACATGTTTAACATCAATGTACAGTATATTTCAAATGCCATGAGTTCTAATTTATAAATTACTCAAAAAAAACCCAAACAAACCCCAAAATAAAGCTAATGTAAAGGTCCTGTTATGGTTCTTGCATTAAAACTTTTTTCGTTGTAAAATTCTTGGTAATTTTCTCTTTGTACTTTTTGCTTTAGATTTGATCTTCTCAAAAGACAAAAACTTTTAAAGTGTGCACTCTTCAAGGTGTCTGCCCACCTGGTATCTGCAGGATTTACTAGGGTTATGCTGAGGCACTTTTATGAATTAATTAGTGGGACAGGAGCTTTAAAATGCAGTTACTTCGCTCTTGCGCGGTCAGCAGTTTTTTTAATTCATGAATGGATTGAAGCTAATCCCAGGTAGTATAATAATACCTGTAGTATATAGAGCTCTCATTAAAATAGTAGATGATAACTTAATTTTTGTAGTGTTTTTACTCTTAAGCAATTTATGTTGTAGCTGTTTAAAGCAACTTAATTATGTATCTCTATAACTCATTATGGCATGAATTGTAGTATTTTCAGGGTTTGGAGCAGAAGGATGACTACTTATGGAGAAAGTATTTACAGTCTGTTAGGATATATCCACTGATTCATTACCATGAAATTCGTGAAGAAGTACATTTCCCATCAGCATTAATGTCCCACTACTTAATTATGCTTAAAAGGGTACTGCAATTGTCCATTAATTAATGTATGGCCACTTCAGAGTGTGAGAGTAATCTCAAAAGTGACAAGAACAGCATCTGTGCTTTTTATCTTGTCTTTGTTGTGGTTATGTGCTTTTGTTAAACATTGCAAAGCAGAATAACCTGCCTGCCTTAAGATAAAATGGCCTGAATAGGCTTCGCAGTATCATGAATTCTGAGGAGCTTCAAATAATTGAATTTCATTGGAATTTTGATGTTTTGTTTGCACAACGGAGCCTGAATTTGAAAGATTTGAAAGGGAGGTTGAAAATCAATAGGGATTTCAGTGGAATGCTGATAAGCATCCTTCCTAAACTCTTACTAAATAAATCTTGCATATCATACCTGTGGCTTGGTCATAAAATTTTTGTTCCATTTGCAGGATGAACTCAGTGATGTTATTGACATTAAGGATCCAGACCAAACTCCTGTTGATGAACGTAGGAGGAAACGCCTGGCAGCTGAGGCTGCCAAGTTTGACCCTGATCACTACCTGTGAGTATTGGTCTACTTTACCTGGTCAAGTAGAAGTACCTCAGGTGAAATATATTCACTTTTTCTTTTCATAAAGAAACTACGTACTCTTCCTCCCCAAAATACACAGTTTTAAAGTGGGAGAGCTTCCCAGTAAAATCCAGGTTGCTGCCAGTGACGTTGTCCGAGAAGTCTTCTCTTGGGAATGTTTTCCTTTAGATCCATCCAGAACAAATCAAGATTGTTCACCTTCATGTCATGCTGCAAACTCATCAATTTCCTGGGCTTCTGGGTGGCTCAGGAAAGGTGGAGGAAGTAGGGAAAGGGTACTGTAAGATAAGAGAATATTGCTTATGCTTTTAATAATGATTATTTTCTGGTTTTAAGTCAAGGAACATATTTTTAATGCATGGAAAATAGCTTGGAGCCAAGTCAGGTGTATTCTATGTAAGCATTAAAATATACCCACATACGCTATAAACTCAAGTAAATAGTCTATGATTTTTTTTTTTCCCCTAGGGCTGATTTTTTTGAAGATGAAGCTGTACGCTATAAACTCAAGTAAATAGTGTATGATTATTTTTTTTCCCTAGGGCTGATTTTTTTGAAGATGAAGCTATTCAGCATGTCTTAAAGTACAAACCATGGTGGGTTGATGCTCATAAAAAGATGAAAGCCTTTAAGGGAGAAAGTCATCAGGAGCACAACACTCATACATTTGGTGAGAACCTATATATATATCTAGACACACACCTGTTGTTTGAATGGTAATTGCTGTGATGCCGTGTTATGTTCTAGGTTATTGTTCTTAAGGGAGAAAGTATGGGTTTCTCTTACAATTTTCAGTCTTAGCCATTCTTCATAGAGGAGTATTCTGTTAATTCACCTGTCCTCAAAGAAAAAATGTTTTTCTCTGAGGGACAGTGACATACTGAAATCTTTGAGACAGTTGTGTGTGGAGCAGTTTTTAAGGTTTCAAAGGAGCTGCTGGCCTCAATAAGTCATGGCATTTGAAATCAAATCAAACCTATCTGTGATTGTCACAGCTAGAAAATGGCTCCTTTGCTGTGCTTATCTCCTCTGTTTGTTTTTTTTCAGATTTTTTGAGTAAATGTTCTCCCTTTCCTAGTTGTATTTTTAGTGGAAAAAAATAGTCAAAACTGGTTGTGCCCAAATATGGTGCAGACACTTTACAGCAGGTTTTCCGAGAATTAGCTGTGGAAGATTGCACCAATATCAGCTCTTATCTCTGTTTGATAAGCACGTCTTCTGTAGGATGTTTTATTTTTTTATGCAGAAGTTTGTGGCATTTAATATGATACTGTTACTTTTATGGATCTCGGAGACTTTCTTCAAAGGAAGTCTTTTTAAAAACTAAAAGGGATGGTTTCAGATTTAGTAGATGACCTTGTAACAGCACTTTTAACAGACAACTGAGATTACTTTTCCATACGGAGTGATTGCAGAGAGCATTACAAGTTACTATTATGCATATTCTTTCATTGTCCTTTGTTCATTTCCTATGTAGTATGAAAATCCGATGTTACTAAAGTAGATAATGATAATCCATTCACCAGAGGTTCTTAATAAATACTAGTGCACTAATAATACCTGCACTTTTGCATTTTCTACAGGAGAACAATAATGGAATTTGGGAAATGTTGTATATTTTACTGTGAATGTAATCTGATCTTCATTACTGGTCTCTTTTCAGCCTCTGAAGCCAGAAATTATTAATTATATCTATCATAAGCATTTGATTTAAAAAGGATTTGACGAAGGTACAAGAGGCTTGAAATTAGAATATGAGGAGTTCTTTTGTTTGTTTTTACCCATTCACTCCTTAGTAAATGAAACGCTGCTACTGTTTGCCAGCGTTACGGAATATAATGAAAATGAAGAGCTGCTGGATGATTTTATTGATAAAGAATATTTTTATTCCAAATGGAGATTCCAAAGTAAACCATATGTGTGTTGCTGGGTCTTAGGGGCAACAACAATGGACAAGCTACTCGAAAGCCTGGCAAGCCTGCTAATGAAAGTTACTCAGAAAATGGGGCTATATAAAGGACCATCTTTTCTCTAAGCCTTTTGTTTTAACAAATACATATTTAATAAGAATGATCAAAAAAACTTATTCTGACCTTTGCGTGGCTGAGTGAAGAGGTGTGTGTAGTTTTGTGGATCTTTAGGAAATACAGGTAATGTAAGAGGCCATGTGGTCTTTGGGTTACATTAATGATAACAACCCACCCTTTTCCTTAGAAAGACCTCAGTTTTCATAAAGTTTTTACTGCTTTGGGATGGCAAGCAGCTGAATGAGGATCTGAAACCATTGGAGATTGCTAAACTGGAGTTGTGGTGAAAGAAACCACCATGAGAGGGAGTACAGGTTCCATTTGAAGGTCTGTTATGAATGGGAATACAAAAGGGCAGGAGGTGGGGTCAGGCTCTTGGACCTGAAATCTGATCATCAGTGGGATGAGTTCCCTGTGGTTTTATATTGCTTTTATCCTTAATCCAATCAAAGGGATGGTCTGGCCAGTCTGAGTTACAGATTTAGGAATTCTTACAAGCTGCCTGCAATTTGCCTGCACGTGTGCGTTAGTATGGATTGCAGTGTGCATGCTTAGTAAGTGGAAGTGCCATAAAAAAGGCACATAAAGGAAACAAGGACTGTGCTAAGTGAAGAACCTTCTCTACTGCTTAAGAAATTTTATGTTATTTCCACTAGAGCTGGGGAAAAGTCTGGCTGCATTAAGGCAGGGTGTGCTGTACAGCTAGAAGGATGAGGAGGCTGTCATTGGTACTAGAGCATGCTTGGAGTAAGAAGCCTTTGAAAATTAGTACTTAGCTATAAAAAGCTAAAGGGTGCTCAAGCACAGGAGCTCCAGGGGCACAAATGTTATATGCATTGCAGTGTGTTTCAAGGTGTTCTGTGAAGTGTGGTAATTCTCTGAGCCTGTGTGTGTGTGTGTTCCCCTGCAGGTAGGTGTGAGGTCAAACCTTTATTATAAAAATCAGATACAAATGTCCCCTGTTTACTTTTCAACTTATTTAAGGGCATAAAGGAGGAGGGATTGAAACCTTCGTGCAGTTTCTTTTTATTGCTTATGGAAAAGAGGCATAAAATGAAAAGTACCCAGATTTCTTACTCTTCCCAAATTCATATCTTGCGTTAAGGAAAGCATCTAAAATAAGGTAATTTCCATTACCTTCCATGATGAGGACTTCCAAGCATATGGCTTGTAAAGAGAATTCAGATATTGGGGTGTTTAAAACGTCTACAGCTCGTGATAGGTGCTCTGATAATAACTGATAAGACAAGAAGGTAGGAGTGTTAAAGTTAAAACTGGTGGTAGATTATAGTGCAGGCTACCACAGCACTGAGGTATTGGCACAAGAATTTGATACCCAGTACCTTTAGGGTCCCTGTATTTTGTGCTCTGTTACTGCTACCATTAGGACAGTTCCCACCTGTCTGTGGAATCAGGAATGTCACTGGGAACTGAGTTGTCAAGTTACTACATTGAAAAGTGAGTTCAGTGTGGGAAAGTGACATAAAAAATAGCAGGTTCCCTAAAAGTATGTTTTCTTCTTTAGAAATGCTGAACCAGGAAAATTATTTTTTAATGTTTCTTCCTTTTGTTTGTCATATTCACTGGTTTCTTGGAACCAAAGCCTTGTTTACTTTTGTCTTTCTAATGTCTTTGGCTACAAGGAGTAATTAGAAATACAAATTGATGGGTTTTGTGTTGGTTGTGATTTTTTTTTTTTTTTTCTTTTGCATGGCATTACAATTAACTGAAGATTTTGTTTGGCTGATTACTGCTCTTACTTTCATCCCTGGCTATTCTCTCTCCTGTTTGTACCTCATCAGGTTTTTTTTAATGTCTCATTACCAGATACTTTTTTTCCTTTTTGGATCAGCTTTTCTGATTAGCATTTAAAGCCTTCGGCTCTCTTCTGTCCTTACCTTGAATCTATTTTTAATTTAACTTTTTTGCTTTTTTCCTAGCCTGTATGTACAGTGTGTGCATTTTGTCTTCTTTAAAATTTCTTCTTTTATTGTCTTAAATGTCGTTTATTTCTTTTATCCTTTTTTGCATTTTACTGTGTATTGCAGTGATTCTTTTCTTGCCCTTTTTGCATTTTTATTTATTTTCCCCATAGGCTTGTTAGCCACCAGGCTATGGTTTGTTTGAACTGACTGTCATTTTGCTGTGCATGACATGTTCATAATGAGTGTCAGGCCTGGTTAATTTATTTTTCAAAAACTTTTAAGGAATGCATAGATACTTGTGTGTAAAATTCAAGTGTTTTCTCCAGAGAGAGAAATTCTATTTGGAACACCTGGCACTTTGCAGTGTGTTAAAGAACATCTTGTAACATTTACCTTTGGGGATTGTCTAGTAGACTTGTATTTTCTGTGTTTATGGTCCAGTTGTATATGTTATGATGCTTCAGAGAGTTTGTGTTTTAGAGGAAGAAAACTTTATCTTGTATGTTTCATGAACTTCACTAGGAGTTTCTTTGCTTTCTACTTAGAAGGGAAGTGTGGTTCACATTTACATCTTACTCTAGAGTGTGGGTTTTAGGGAATCTAACAAATACTTGTTAGTTGAACTTGAAAAAGTCAATTTTTTTTTGCTCTGACTGTTGGACTGTTCCTTATCTCTGATGATAAGAGAGGTTAATTTTGATCAGCTGTGAGATAAAACCAAACTTCAGGTTGTAGCCATTGATTAAGAAGAGTAGGTCAGTAGTGGAATCTGTAAATGCATTAACGAGCTTCTGAAAGAGAATATGTACATCTTGGCTGCTAACTGGAGCAAGCACATTGAGGTGGCCTAGAAATGAGAGTGCTGCCATAATGTACTGCATCCATCAGAACAGGTATTCTGTCTGTGATGAATTCCCAAATGATTTGAAGGAGTGATTTAGCATCTTTGTAACAAAATTCTTCATTACTGTAGTCATCGATTAAACTTTATGAATCTGATCTGCAGTCTTTGCTGGCAAACTTTTGGCTGTTTGCTTTTCAGGATTTCTTTTTCTTCTTTAGCTTCAGTTTTATCTCTCCTCTCTTGTGCTTCTCTTCAGGGTAAAACTGCTGCTTGCATATGATTTTATAATAAATTGTGTTGGACTCCAGGAGAGGGTTTTTTGGTGGAAGCTAGTTGAAATTAGAATGCCTTTTTTCTTCCAATTGGACCTTCTTCTAACTGTAAACACCCTGTTGTGATACCTCATTAAACCTACCCTACTGTAGCAACTTACAAAGTGCTTTTATGTTGTGTTTTTCAGAAACTAATTCTTTTCAAACGTGCTACAACATTGCACATATGGTTTTATGGATAATTTTAATATGAATGATAGAGGTGACTCACTGAAGAATCAATGTGGTTTAAGAACTTGTAAAGAAATTTGCTGATAGAATATAGACATATCATCTATATTTGTGATTTAAGGAGTAATATTGAACTGCATTGCATTAACAGAAAAACAGAGTTAGAACTGCCATAGTCTTGCTAAATTGTCACTTTGTACTAGATCATAGCAAGTGGAAGAGATTGGCTTTCTCAAGATGATAGAAAAGCTGGATTTTCTTTTTGTGGGAGCTTGTAAATAAATGGAGACTGGCTTGACTCCAGAGAAATGTTTAGCTCATCAAGAAGTTTCCATAGGAATTTAAATCAAGTATTTCATGGTTATGAAGCTGATAGAAACAGTAAAAAAGTCCATAAAGAAGGAACATTCAAAAATGTTTTTCCTAATTTGTAGTTTTATGTCTCAAGATGAGGTGTGTGCATATGTACGTGCCTTTGGCATCACAAACGTTTGTTTCAAAATGTGTCATAAAATGAGAAAGCTTGTAGAAACCTCCTGGGATAGAGACGACCACATGTCTAATAGGCAGATTGTATCCCTGAGAATGTGGATTGTAGAAAATGATGATGAGCAGTGTTTGAGGAGGAACATCTATCAGCACGTTTGCAGTCGTCGTCCATACAGCAATGGGCAAGGGGTGTAAAAAGGAATGTGCTTTATTAGGAGTTGTAACCTTTTCTTTCTCTAACCTGTTCTGTACGCTCCCCCTGGGGGATTTAGCTGCCCATGTCCCAGAGGCCCAGGACTCTGGGTTATGCTCAGCTGCAAAACCTTGCTCTTGGTGCTGAGGAACAGCTGTGAGAGAGTCTGCAGAGAAATCGGAGTAGTAAAATTGCAGGTAGGATTGTTGAGACAGGATCGTTAGTAGCTCAGAGATTCCAGAGGTGAATACCAATGTGAAGGATATAAACTGGTAAAACAGGGAATCAAGTTGGGGCAGGAACCTGTTGGGTCACCAGGTCGAGTCTTTAGTGCTGGTGAAGCTGGTGGAAGATTGTGGCTCATCAGTGTTCAAGGATCTGTCTTGGGAAACCACAAAGGCTGACCCTTCCCAGGTGCCTGCCTTATCTCAGTGGGGTAATTGTTAATTGTTTTACACTTTTAAGTTTGTACATCTTGCCTACAGCTTTTCTCTGCCCCCAGCTAAGTATGCCAGAACGTAGTGACTCAAAAACGGGGTGGTAAAATTGTAATTGAAGAGACATTTTGATATCAATTGTAAGGTTTTGGTGTGTCTGTCCCTTCTCCCCCCCCGCCCCGAATAATTATAATTCAGTGAGTTCAGGGGTACATCATTTATCTATACCTGGTACTTAGGGGCTTATTTTGAAAGTGTAAGGAGAGTGCTGCATTGGGCTTGTTCCTGTCCTTGGAGGAATTTCCTTGAATGAGTGGTATTTTAAACTCAGGCTGGTTCCAGTGTTATTGGTGCTTGAACAAATCACAGCGTGGGACTTCCTCAGTGCAGCAAAGCATCAGTTGTTGAGCAAGTAACACTGTTTTCTCCTGTCAAGTCACCCTGTGCCTGTAGCTTTCTTCTGTGGTGTGACCAAAGTGTGCTCACTACATCTGTCCTGTTCAGGAAATCAGAGCCTGTTGGCGTGGAACGCTTCACTCCTCTTTGCTCTGGCATCTGGCTGTTTTCTTTGTGCTGAATGGCTTCTTGATTTACTTTGAGTTTGTACAGGGACAGCTTCTAGTCAGCTGTCTACTTCATCTCTGCTGGTATTTCAAGGCAAATCTGCCATCCTTTCTGAAGTGTTTCAAGTACTCTTCAGAAGGGTTACCATTCAATATTCACTCTTAGCTATCCATGTCTATTCCACTGTTTCCTAGAGAAATACTTTGATGCATTGTCACAGTGTCCCCACTGTCTTCTTGTCATCTTCCTCAGGCATCCCAAAGAGAAGGGTCTCAATGAGAAGATTCTTTGGGTTGGCTCGGTATAGGCATTCTTAACTAAATGAGGTTTGCTGAAGATATGCAAAATAGGATGGTCATAAATGGTGGATACTGTAACTCTTTGGAAGGAAATGTGGCTTTCATCGGTGGGGAGTGTTTAGATCTTTTTTTGATCTTCCTGACACACTGGAAGGATGTTGTCAGACAGCATAAACGAAGCTCCTAAATAATGCTTAGGTCATGACTTGAAATTGATAAGGCTTGGAAAACGAAAATTGTACCTTTCCTTTTTTTTTTTCCCCTTCTCTGTTTCTTTAGTTCTTAGCCTTTTCTACAATAAAAAAAAATACATTGGGTTTTGTTATCCTATTTTCATATTTTTGTCCTATACAACATGGACTTAAGAAACTTTGATTTACTGGATCCTGATTGACCGTTTCATAGAATCGTCTAGGTTGGAAGGGACCTTAAAGATGATCTTGTCCAACCATCAACATAACTCTGACAAAAAAATAAATAAGAAATAAGAAATAAAAAACACTAAACCATATTCTTGAAGACCATGTCAGCCCATCTTTTGAACACCTCCAGGGATGGTGCCTCAGCCACTTCCCTGGGCAGCCTATTCCAATGCTGGATAACCCTTTTGGTGAAGAAATGTTTCCTAATATCCAACCTAAACCTCCCCGGTGCAACTTGGCACAAATTTATCTGTGTATAAGATAGCCGGTTATCCGCAGAAATCCTTGGCATTGCAGAGAGGTTCAAAATTCCCTGTGTGTACCTGCAGTACGTTGCAGGACTGGAACTTGACTTTGAAAGGAATATATCAGAGTTTAATAAAAGTTAAAAATGAAGGAAAGAATGATTTAGGCTTTTTCTTGAGTGATGAGTGACTGGTGATTAGTTACACACTTCTTTTTAAAGAGGCTGTTGAAGTAGTATTACCCCCTATTAAAATGAATGTGCCAGCTTTAAATTCATAATCAATTATCCTTTTACTTTTTATAGTTGTCTTCTCTGAGGAAGAGAAAGAGCAGCTGAGAAAGTTCACAAATAAATCTTATCTCCTGGATAAAAGAAGCCGTCATCATGTATATCTTGGTTTAATTGATATCCTTCTGGCGTATTGCTATGAAATCTGTGTCAATGAAGGAGACAAGAATGTAAGTTTAAAAAAAAAAATAAAAAAGAAAATTTTATCATGTTTTAGCAACCTAGTGCTGGACCCTGTCATTTAGGAAACTCACAACTTACTTCCAGGGAATAAAAATATCTAGTTGAGTAAGTTAAAATGAAAGATGCCATATCTCTAGATTGAGCTGTTGGGATGCATGTGGGGATTAATATGATTTCTAAATACTTCCCTTCTTCTGGAGCAGCATTTTGGCTGTAGAAGAGATGTGGAGTTGCAGGAGACTCCAGACAATTCTGTTTGTTTCTGCTTTGGTTTGTATTGTTATGTCTTGATTCATGTAAATGCAGATTTCACAAAATAATTGTTCTTTTATATTGATGCTTCTTCCTTCTGTTTTTTGGAGAGTACTGTAAGAGTTGTGTTTTGTAGTAACACCACTACTGACTTGGATTCTGAAAAAGCATGGGAATTCATTAAGTCTGGAGGACTGAAACTGTGTTTATTGTTTTATATAGGCTACCATTAGATGCCTTTAACAGAACTGGTTTTTTTAAGCTTTTTTTGTGGTGTTGGGTGTTGGTTTTGTTTTTCTTTTAAAGCTTATGCACTGAGTGTGGAAGGTATTTCCTGACGTGTTCTGTAAACTAGAGTGAGGCATTTAAATTTTTTTAAATTGACACACATTTAAAAAACAAAAAAACCATCCTAATAGAGAGTTTTCTTTTTCTGGTATTCAAACACTGGGGGGAAGCAAAAAGGCGTGTTTCCATTTTCAGGATTCTGGTGTTTGCCTGTCTCTTACCCAAGCAGCAGGCAGCTTTATTTTGTGTTCTGTATCCTAGGCTTTTTACAGGATATAAAGCATGAAGAAGATTCCATGGATTCCATGCTGTCCTGTGGACAGCTTGCCTTGACTTTCTTCCCAGATACAACTTTGTGCCGAGCGTCTCCTCTGCTGATATTAATCAATGAGATGTTTTCTTAAGGGTTTTAATCAAAATATTGGAACATATAAACAAACTGTTCTGTCTTAGTCAGACTGAATTGCAGGGCATGGATTTTAGAATGCCAGGCAGAAATGTCCAGACCTGCTTATTCAGCAGAACAATCTAGGATGGTGGTTGTATTGTGTGTTAGTGTTGCACAAAATTGCAAATATGCGAGGATCACAACTGTACAATTCTTTTTTGATCTTTGCAATGACTGTGTAGTATATGTGGAAAACACGTTGTGGGGGCTTTTTCCCTTTTTTTCCCCCCTCCTTTTTTTCCTTTTTTTTTTTTTCTTTTTAATAGGAAAACCAAGACTTTGAGGCCACACAGATTTTTACTAGAGCCAGGATTATAGATCAAGGCCCTCCTGGCTTTTTTCCCTAATCATCCCACTAGACAAAACCGCCACACAAATACTATGAATCTGTCACGTTTTAAGAATAATGACATTTTACATGTACAGGGCTTTAGGACCCTCTCTGAAAGCCAAAAGTCTTGAGTTGTTTTCACAAAACAAAGCTTTGTTGATTCAAGTTTCTGTTGCTTGGTGAAGGGACAGAATTCCACCAAAATACCATTTTTCTGTGATTGCTGTCGTATTTTAAAGGCTTTGTGCATGAGCTAGATATTCCCAATACGGAAACCAATTCAGTTATTTAACATCTGCATTGCAATATAGTTTTTAATGCTGTCCTGTGGCCATTTCAATGCATGTAATATAATTACTGCTTCATATTCACAAAGGTTCTTAAATTGCTGCCAGAATGTTATCTTAAATACTTTGCCAGCAGTCTTGAATTTCGAATTGGATAATACTTGTTTTATGGTCTTCTCTTAAAATCAGGTTGAATCAGCCTGGAACGTCAGGAAACTGAGTGCAACGTTGTGCTGGCTGGAGGTGAGTTAAAACTGAAGTTTTGTGTTATGTGTTTGCTGTATTCTTTGGTTTTGGTATTATATGTTGGTTTTGTGGAAAGCTTAGTCTTTCAATATTGAGGATGAATGAAGTGTATGTCCTCTTTTTAATAAATGGTAGAAGAAATCGATCGTGTCTTCTGGGCTCCCTGCTACTGGTAGTCTCAAGATGCTGGAGTATGATCTCTCATCTGTCTGGGTGCTGGGCTGCCTTCTGGCCCATTCTGGAAAAGCTAAGGATGGGCATTATGAAAAAGCTGCTCCTCTACATGCTGTCCCTAGCTCCTAGGCTTGATTCACAAGTCCTGACCTTTATTTAGGAAGTAATTGTAATTGTTCCTCACATATGTCCACAGTATGTGTGTGCAACTCCATCCTTAGGGCAAGAAAAGGCAGCTTTCCAGCTCCTCGATCAGAAGTCATAGATCTTCCTCTTTAGCTGGCTAAAGCCTGTTAAAATAGAAAGGGCATAAAAAGCAGGGAATGTAATTTCTTAGTGTTCTTGTGTCCTTTAAGTCCTGCCTCAGATATGTGTTTTAATAACTTCTGCTGTGTGGCTTCAGAGTCTGTTGGAGAGTGGAACCGGGAAGCCCAGAAGTAAATGCAGACCTGGTGATAGGAAAAGCTCTTAGAACTCAATCAAAACGTGTCAGGTTTATGTTTTTTTTCACCTGTCCTGGAGAAGCTGGGTTCCATATTCTTGTGGCAAGAAGACCTCAGGTCTGTAGTTGAGTTGTAGAGCTGTTACCTCATTAAGGCTCTAACGATTACGTGATGTTTCAGACACACGCTGAATATTTTGCTTTCAGGTTTCTTGCAAAGTTAATGGAGGTGTGTTGCTTCACCTGAAGGCTTCTTTTCAGCCTCTTTGATGCATCCCTATTTCTTTAGTTGGGGCTAGCCCTTTGAAAGACACAGATTAGAGGAAACAAACTCGGTTCTATTCTCTGCGATGTTGGGTTGTTTACTAAAATCACAGAGGCCTGTGGAAGACACTTAACCTGGCCTGTAATCTGTTATTTCTTACGATGGCAGCAAGCTAGAATGGACTGTCTTGTCCTCATTTCTCCAAATTACTGAGTTTGCAGGATCAAAAGTGAAATTTACCTGGATTTTTGGGTTCAGTCCTTCAACCATTTCTAGTAGTGGCAAATGTTACACTCAGTCACAACTGGTTTTCTAGATGTGTTAGTTTTAATTTGTCTCCAGTTGGATGATCTGCAGGAGCAGGTCACAGAGGAGAGCAGTTAAAAAGCAGTGACTTTCAAATATTATTTTTTTTTTTTTCAGATCCATATCCTAACATAGTGAAGGGGTTTTCTGCATGTGCTTATCCTATAATGTAGCAGTTCTTGGCGCAGCCTGTGCCAACAGTATATTTCACACCCAGAAAATTCAGTCTCCTGGCACCAAGCTGTTAATAACTATATCTGTTATACAAACCCTGTAGCCTTAACTTTCAAATATTATTTTTTTTTTTTTCAGATCCATATCCTAACATAGTGAAGGGGTTTTCTGCATGTGCTTATCCTATAATGTAGCAGTTCTTGGCGCAGCCTGTGCCAACAGTATATTTCACACCCAGAAAATTCAGTCTCCTGGCACCAAGCTGTTAATAACTATATCTGTTATACAAACCCTGTAGAGGCGGGTGTTTTCATCAATCTGTAAACAAAATTGCCTCAGCTATGGTTTGTTTGAACTGCCATTTTGCTGTGCGTGACATGTACGCACCTTAGACTCTAAATATTAAATAACAAAACATAAATTATTAAATGTTTACCAGTGATCCATTAAAATGAAAAATGGGTTGAGGTAGTCATATAATGCGAAAAAGTGCTGGCTGTCAGCAAAGCATTTTTATTAATTTTAATTGATTGAGAGTTTGAGATGAAATAGGTATTTTTACTTGAATTCATAAATGGAGTATTTGTCTTGAAAAGTGAAAGCTGGAAAGGAAATAATTCTCTTAAGAAAGTCTTTAACTCATTAATGCCTCTGGCCTGAGTAAATTAGAGGTCTTCCTCACTTGTAGAGAACAATGAACTGCTTTCCCTGAGCAGATATATTTATTCCTGTCTTGAATATCTATCATTTTCATGAAAGGCCTAGTCATGTATCATTTTTAAAGATCTTACATGTACACATGTATTTTGTTAATATCATGTGGTTTTAATTTTTCTTTATTCTTAAAAGGCTTTTTATAGCTTCCCCTTAATACGTATAATAATGTGAGACAGATGTAATTTATTGCTTTAATCTAAAGAATGGCGAAGTCTTGAGTTAGATGTTTTATTCTAATGTTCTCTACATTCTTTTTTTAATTCAAACCCACTAAAACGTATAGGACTTGTGTTATCCTGCCATGCAAGCTAAATGTGCAGTGTCTTGTTTCTATTTAACATCTTGATTTCTATATCTATTAAAATACAGATTTTTAGATGCATAATATATTAAAATGTGCGCTTTATTCTGCTGTGACTTTTTCCTTAAAGTAAAACAAACAAACACAAAAAAATTAGGTTTTTATCTATCGGAAAGCACACGGACTAATTCAGATTTTTCACTGACACACACAGAGTTTCACTAGTGTTCATGACGTGCTGGTGTCTTTTGGAAGAAGAGTGCTGTGCTATCCCCTACACAGACATTTTGGATTAGTGACACGTGCCTTCAATGATACAGTCATGATACTGCAACTAGGTAAGTTTCTTAGTGATTGGAAGTAATGCCTGTATAGCCACATTGTATGTCTGGAGGGTTTTTTTTAATAACTTTTGAGTCCTTTGGCCAGTTTCACCCAAACGCGATTTCTGGACAATCTTGTGGTTTTGTGAAAATGGGGCTGGGGAGAGAAGAGAACAAAATTAAGAGTCCTTACCAGGAAAAAGCCCTTAAAATAAACTCATTAGCCAGCAGATGATACATGCAGTTGTGCTGTAAATTCAGCTGTATTATTCACACCAAAAAACCTACACAGAAGAAGTATTACAAATGTCTCATCCTTAGAAGAATCTTTGATCTGATATTGTATCTTCATAAATCAGGATAGTCCGACCGTGATTTGTAAAGCTTTAGGGAAAAGATCTGTAAAATATTTTCCTCTTTACTGTATTTGTCTGTAAAGAGATTTTTCTGTTGGAAAAGAACATTTTAATGAAGCCTCTGTTATGGTAGGTTAGATAATTTTTTTTAGACCCTATTCCAAAAGTGTCTAAATTTTTATTTCAAAGCAGGATCGCTTATTGTTATAAGTATAGCAACAGTCCTGTTGTTTTCTGTTGTCCCTTCTGTTCTTTAATTGGAAGGATTTCTGATAACTTTCATGATTTGTCTCTATCTAAGGGAAGTTCTTAAAGCATCGCTGTCTTCAGTTTTTCTAACTGTTCTGTTTGAGTAAGTTCTGCTCATCATGCTTTTGCAGTTGCAAATCTGGGATGTTTCCCTGCACTATTTACTGTTTGGAAGAACTATTGTTTTAATTTAACCCTTGTCAGATTTGTTAGGATTTTGACAGAAAGAAAGGTAACCCTAATGTTGAATTGCCACTTTCTTTTTCTAGAATTAGATCTTTTGTTGGGTTTTTTTTTTGTTGTTGTTAGTTGGTGGTTCTGTTTTTTTTTTTTTTAACTGAACCAGTCCATTAATTACTTTCTTTTTTCCTGTTCCAAATAACTGTTTGACATCTGGCCATCTTTATTTCTAAACTGTTCCATTGCGTGTGCCAGTTCAGCAGTAACATACAGAATCATGCATCGGAGGGCAAGGGGGAGTTTCATGGTTCGTATTCTGTGTTAGGATTCTTTGTAGGATTAGGACAAAATGGCTGAGGTGACTCTTGGTTAAGTCCAGAACAGAAATCCTGAATTTGTATCAGCATCAAAACTCTTTTTGCATCACTTTTCTTTTTGTACTTCCTACATAGTTATGCTCTCCTAGGAGCAGAAGCCAAAGTCTCTGATTTGCGTGTGTTTTCTTAGTTCTCTGCTTGTTATTAGGAAAATAAGACAGTTCTAAATCACAGCCAAGTAGAGCTGTTCATAAAAAACAAGCGGTGAATACCATGAAAACTATTTTGTTGAAAAATAAAAATGTTTAAAAAAATCATTTAAAACTGAAGAACTGAGTACACACTACATATTTGTAGCTTTGTTTTGTTTCACTTTCAGGAGTGGAGCTGTCATCATCTTAATGACCGCAAATTATTCTTTCAGCAGTAACATTCTTTTTGTATTCTCTGTTTATCCCAGACAGCTTTCATGTAACAGTACACATTTTCAAACCTATGGTTATTCCAGCTTCAGTTGTGATGTTGTAAACAATCATGTTTATATCTTGGGTTGTTAAAGTTACTCGCAACTCTTCTATTTATTGTGAGCTACTACTTTCAAAAAAAAGTGTTGTGTTAGATTATTATTATTATTATTTTGGACAGAAGAATCAGAGAAGCAGCACTTTGGTGGTTTACTTTCAGTGCTTGTGAGTTGCAGGATTAAAAAAAAAAACCACAAATGGCAATATTGATCTCTAACTGCCAAAAAACTATCGATGATTCAAATTAACATTTACATGGTAACAGTCGGGTAGTGAAGTTTTAAGGGGAAGACACAGGCTGTGCCTCTTCGTATCTCCCCTGGCTTTTTCTGCCATTCATAAGTATGAAAAAATAAAAACTGAAATCATACAGCACTTCCAGCCTTTTAGATGTTATTCTTAAGAGCTGAAAAAATAAAACTCCTATAACAAAACTCAAATCATACAGAGCTTCCAGCCTTTTAGATGTTATTCTTAAGAGGATAATAGATGGGAGGTAAGCTTTTTGCTTTTCTTTGAATGTTACGATGGAAAATGGTATTGGAGGGAACATTCAGTGGTGGAACAAAATATTCTCAGTAGTTTGGTAGGGGAGGTAACAATACCTGTGTTAGGTTTCCTGCTCCATCCTCCTACGCTGGACACGTGGCTGCAGTTGTCTCCTTCTCCTCTGCTTCCAAAACATGGTGTGGCCCCAGTAGTGCTGCTCATCATGGTCCCCTCGTGTCACCCACCATGGTCTTGTTCCAACAGCAAGGTCCCCATTTTCTGTGGAGGAGCAGTTGGGGTTTGTTAACTCATTCTCTGCTGGCACGGGAGACAGGCTCGCCTGGTTTTTTCTGACCTCAGTGATTGGCATAAAAATCACTGCCATCGGCTTGAAAAGAAATTCAACTTGATTGAGTTGAGGGTTGGAATGGTTTGGGAGCAGTGGAAGAAGTTGCAGGTGGAGGGTCTGGCTCCCTTCTCTGCGTGTGGGTGCTGTGCTGGTTGCCTGGGAAACAGAGCAGGATGAGGCAACTCCTCTGCAGAGCTGGCCCTGCAGCCTCAGGATGCTCAAAAGGCACGTGCAGGCTTCAGGAAAGGAGAATGAGTGCTCCTTTCAACTGGAGTCGTTTGTAATAGAGAGGAGGACACTCGTCTTGAGTATGAGCTGTGATAATCTCCAGGTGATGTCAGGAAAGCAGACACCTATTACTTTATTCATGTGGATGTAAATCTATTGGGAAGGGGCATCAGCAAGTTAGCAGTGTAGTGATAAAAGTCATGGTGGTTAATATTAACTTCTGAAAGTTATGGGGCTTGTGTGGAATATTAGTTTTTACTATTATGGTGTGTGAAAAGTGCTAAGATTTTTAAACGGCAAATTTAATGAAAGATGCAAAATTGTTGTATTGTGTAATCGGAAGCTGGGGGAAGGAAAAAAGTGTGTGCCTGTGTGTTCTTAAAAGAAATAGATTTATAGATAATGCTTGCACTGCCGAGGCACATTTCTTCAGTAGAAGCTGAGCCATGCTTTGGAGAGATTTCTGTTTTACAAAATCCTTAGCGAACTGTGCAATGTGCAAAGCATGGTATTTAGAGTGTTAAATACTCTGTTACCCTCTTTGTTTACTGGAAATGGCAGATTACCAGTTTGGTGATGTATTGCAGTACAAGTGTGATGAACATAGGTAAAAATGAGTGTCAAGTAGCAGATAATGAATTCCATTACCAGTTTGGGGATGTATTGCAGTACAAGTGTGATAAACATAGGTAAAAATGAGTGTCAAGTAACAGATAATTAATTGAATTAAATAGTACCAAAACCTAATCTACCAAATCACTTAGATGCAAAAGGAGTGATATTTAACTTAAAGGAGGAATCAGTTTGAATTGATCTTATGCTGAGGTTACCCTTGGCACATCTCCATCTTCTCTTCCATGGCTTGCTTAACTCCAGTATACAGTGAATTTTAATAAATGACAATTTTAGGGCTACAAAAATAGTAAGACTTTTAAAACTAGCACATTTTAGGTTTGCTTTTCTCACCTTTCAGTGAGTTGGACTGACATAGGCCATCTTCTCTTCCATGGCTTGCTTAACTCCAGTATACAGTGAATTTTAATAAATGACAATTTTAGGGCTACAAAAATAGTAAGTCTTCTAAAACTAGCACATTTTAGGTTTGCTTTGCCTCACCTTTCAGTGAGTTGGACTGACATAGGTGTCAAAAAAATCCCCGAGACTGTTTGTCTTTTGGCTTCATCAGTTCTCTGGTCCAGTTCACTGTGGTGTGGAATTTCTCAGAAATTGGCCAGAAATCATCTGTGTATTATGGAATAATCCTACATTAAGGCTTAAATAGTGTTTGTTCTTCGGCTCTTGTTTGTAATTCCTGTGGTAAGGAGTTAAATGCAGTGTTGTGTAAGGACTTCTTATTTATAAGGTGCACGTATAAGACGCATATTCTGAAAGCAGGAGGTTGGTAGTTTGTTGTGCTCTGTGTGTTTGACTGTATGTAGGGGTCTCTATTAAGTCTGGCTGGATTTGCAGCCTCTCTGATTAGAGACCCGTTAAGCTACTGCAATCCAAAACTTTAATTAGTGAAGAAATACTACTTTTTATTGAGAATTAGTCGAAGTCACTAATTTCCATTGTTACTTGGCAGGTGAGTAACAGCAGTGGATGTTGTAAAGGGTTCAGGCTGGCAGCTTGACAGCCAGAACATTAAAAAATTAGCGAAATTTTAATTCCACATATCATTTCTTTTTAAAAGATCACACTTCTTTTTAGTCAAAATAGTTGAGCTTGACAAGCTTGGCTTGACAAGCATTGATGGTGATACAACCTGAAAGTTCAGCAGCTGTATTTGGGATTTTGTTTTCTTTTTCTGACTTTTCTTCAATCGGTATTTTCCAAACCAGTGGAGTTTGTCAGTTCTGTTTGCTGTGGCTTTTCACTCTCTGTGTTCTTTCTCTTCGTTGCCATCTTCCACATCTTTTAACTTTAGTTTTCTGCTGATATTTTTTTCAGCACGGAATTACAGAAACAAACAAATGTTGTGATTTTGTGCTTGAACAGCAGGGGGAGTTCTGATCTTTTTTTTCTTTTTTTTTTTTTTTTTTTTTTAATCTGTAAAATGTAATTTCATCCATGTTCAGGTTTCATAGCCTAGGAGGAGCCAGCCTCTTGGGAGAGGGTTATTAGATTCCATTTGCAGTAGTGGCTGTTTTCATTTGAATGCGGGGTGGGTTTTTTCCCCCATTAAACAGTGAAAATATATATTTTATTTTTTTTACTGTTCCAGCACTTTAACCCTTTAGCAACTTCCTCCAGAAAACTAAGGGAGGAGATTCCAGCTAATTGGAGGTTACGTTAATCAATTCTTTGTAAGCAGTGGTTGCATATGAAGAAAATCAAACTGACAGCAGAAAGATTTCTGGTTGTGGAAGGAGAAAGCATTCAAGTTTTTAATCTCCTACTGTATTTATCAATTGTATGTCAAATGGCACCTTCTTGAGCCTGAAGTGATTTTTTTTTTTTTTTTTCTAGGGGCTCGATTTGCCAGGTTATTATTCAGTAACTAACTCAAGTAGGAAAAGTTCTGCTTAATTAAGGCAACGGGTAGATGTTAGGCAATGGCATCACTTACGTTGGCTGACACAATTGCTGGGGCTCCTACGTGCTTGACCCCACTGTGGGCTGCATGTTCCCAACCCTATTATTTTCCAAGGGAGGTATTTGTGTAGGCATACAGGGAAATAAGGTTTTTCTTTCTTCAGATAAATGATGGGGCATAACTTTTTGTTACTTGCGAGTTACTTTTCAGCTTGCTTTTTACTTTTAATATGATGCTCTGTAAGACTGTGCTGAAGTTTGGGTGCAGCTCAGAGAAGTAGAAGAGCTGGGGGCAGGGGTTTCTTCAGGTGTAGAGAATTTCACGCATGACACTGCCTTGAGGCTTTACTTTTGCAGAGAGATTCCTCCTGAATTCAGAGGCTCCACATCCTCACCAATGTGGGTACTGAAGGGAATAGTCATATTACTGCTGTTCTGAGACTGGGAATCAACTTAAAGTTACAATACAGTTGTAGATAGTGGGGTTATTAAAGCCTCAAAGGTGAGAAGATGGTAAAGATTATCTATTATGATTTCTAGTCAATTAAAAAAATAAAAATCTATTTCCAGGAAGAGCTGCAGTTTTGAAGTGCCTGCTGGATATTCACAAGATTTTTCGGGAGAATGACCCTGCCTACATCCTTAATGATCTCTTCATTACAGACTATTGCATCTGGATTCAAAAAGCCAAGTAAGTTCTTAAGTAGTTATCGATGGGGGAAATGTTTTTATCTTACTTGATTTATGAATAAGTATCAGTAAAATCAAAATAAATGTTGTCTCTTATAAATGGGAGTGTGATTAGTCTTTTTCATGTGGTAACCTTGGCTATCCAGCTATTCTTACTACATAAGTGAAAACATTTGGTGCATCTTTTTATGTAGTGACATCAGTGGAGAAGGGAGGGAGGAGTTGCATTTTAATTAAAAATGTGAATTTTCATTAATATAGTAATGGTTTTGGGGGGAAAAACCAGCCATCTTAGAAAAATATTTATATAAGGTTGTTAAATGTTTATAAAAGGTTGTAAACAAATCCTAGTTCAGGATTGAATTTATAACTTCCAGTAGAATTGACAACTTCCAGCTCTGGTCAGATGCACATTTACAACTGTATGAAACATGATTTATGGACTGTAGCACTTGTACCAATGGATTATTAACACCCCAATAAGTGTCACAAATCTCTCTGCGTGGTGTCCTCTTGCCCCCATGGTTGTGTGCCAGCTCAGTCTCCTGGCAGAGCGCTGTGGCTCCCACTTCACTCGGGAGTGAGCAGTGACTTTGCCACTTCCAGACAAAGCCCTGACCCTTCAGTGCTCCCGTGTCTCACCTCTGTTCTTCCAGTGGAGTCAGCCTGGCTTTACTTACTTCCAGAGTCTTGGGAGCTTTGCAGCCAGCCTGGTGAGAAGGATCAGCGTGCTTTAAAACCAATAGTATTGGTAGGAAAACGGTGAGAAATGGATTAAGTGAACAAAGAAAGCTGCATGTTCAAATCTTACTAAGCTTTAAATTGTTCTTGTCAGATTTGTTCTATTTTTTATACAGATTTTGTTTTTTCTCCCTCACTATTTATGTTTTCACAGCCTTCTCTGAAGGCCCACAAAAGTACGTGTATGAGTTGCAAGTAATATTTCTCTGAAAAGCAAGCTTACTAATATAAACACAAAAAATGCCATTGTCATTTTCGTTAACATAGCAATATATAGACTCATAAAACAATGGCTAAAAACAGCCTTTGCTTTCCAGCTCACACTTTAATGAGAGACCATGGGAGAAAAAATACTTTATTAAGTGCACAGGGGATGTAGAGGGAACCCAGTAATAATCATGATCAGAAAGGGGAATACGAAGGAGAACTGAGCCAGCCTGCACGGGCTGTGTATTTGGGTGTAACCTTCCCAGTACTACTTAGAGAATTCAAGGCCTCAGTTCATAGCTGCTTGTTCCATGTTGTAGGTATTTTTGGTTCTTACTCTACTCTGTATTCTTTCGATGCCAATGTCACTAGAGGAAAACAATGCACAAAATATTCTAAAACAACTACAGGTGCTTCCAAACACTTTGATTCATCAATCCTGGTTAGTTACAGGAACAGCCTGTTCATTTTACACTGTCATTTTTGAGGAGACCTTTTGTATCTGAGGTGTGGCCGAAAGTGTGGGGAAATTCACGTTCAGGCTAAAGTTGAGTTGAGAAAGTTCAATTAATTACAGGAACAGCCTGTTCATTTTATGCTGTCATTTTTGAGGAGACCTCTTTTTGGCCGCACCTTAGACACAAGTGTGGGGGAAATTCAAGTTCAGGCTAAAGTTGAGTTGAGAAAGTTCAGTAAATGAAGAAGGAGAAAGTTATTTCATGCGTCTTTCATGAAGAAATGAGTCATATCACTGCTGCCCATATCAATGAATATAATGCCTAGCAAGTCAGTCATAAAAACCAAGTCTTTCTTTAAGTACAGCAGAGGAAAATGTATGGTAGCTATAAGTGACTGATAGATTAACACATTTACTCCCAGACGCATACATTATGTACCAGTTAAGCAGAACTGACAGCTTCGGGAAAGAGGGCAATTAAGCTATCTTATTGTCATAATGACATGGCACAATAGTTGTCTGTCATTAGGAGAACAAGAGAGAGAGAGGAACTGCAGAAGCCAGTCCTATTTTTAGGGTCTGAATCAGGAAAGTGTTTAAGCACAGGCTTAAGTCGTTCCTGTTCAGTCCAGCAGTGAAGCATGTGCTTGAAGTTAAACATGTGCGAAGTGAACAGCAGCACTTTGTTTGTTCCCTTATGTCGAAGGGAACAGCAAAGTTCACTTGTCATTCAGAAAATAACAGATGTGGAAATGGGCAGCCACTTGTCTGTTAAGGAGGAGGGTTCCCAGCTCCCCAGGGTGAGTGAGGCACCTGGAGCATGGGGTGGAACATCTCCCATTCCAGGGGAAGAAAGTAATTGCCTTTGAGGTGAAAACACTTTGGGAGAGGAAGGTATTTACAGGTATTTTTGTTGTGGTCTCTCAGTGAAGTTATTTGTGTGTCTGATCAGCTTGGATACATTTTCTGGTTTGTTTCTTAGCTATTCTTTGCTCCATGCAAGCTTCATTAACTCTCTTTGTCTCCATTTTTTCCTGTCTTTTCATAGCTGTAGTCCCAGGGCACTCTCAAAAATCTGTGGAGGGTTTTTCTTTTCTTGTCCTCTTTCCCTGGTATGTCACCAAGTCCTAGTGGAGGTTGGGGCCTCTTTGTTTTAACAGTTAAAACAGACTGTAGGTTCTTTTTAGTGAAGAATCAGCTGGAAGCAAATTTTTTTAGCTCACCTGAACTGGCAGATAAAAGTCTGGGAGCTTTAGGTTTAAAGAAAAAAAAAAGTTTGGCACGGGCAGAACTGTAATGGATATATCAAGTGGTAGTAAGTGCACAGTCCTATTCCAGATTAAGCTGCCAGGAGAGGAACACCAGTGGTAGGTACTGGCTCTTAAATATTCAGTGTGGAAACAAAAACCTTATAGCCAACAGTTTGTCAATAGCTGATTACAAATCTGCTTTGAGATCATGGTTTGGCTGTGGCTAAATTAAATGAATAAGTGAATGTGTCACTGGGCTGGCAAAAGATGATTTATTTTAAGCACAATGTATTGGAGTGGGAAATTATTTAGCTGCTGAATAAAACCCATGCAGGTGGCTAATAGTCTATTGGGTATGGTGAGTACAAACTAGTTCTTTTAAGGATTCCTTTTTTTTTTTTTCCTCAGACAAATGATTTCATTCAGGTACCTGTTACTAAGAAAGAAGTAGATTCCTAGAAGTCTTAGATGAAGCAAAGTATTAGCAAGTGTAGCTAAAATTTTGTCTTCCTGTTTGCAGTCTTAAAGCTGGTTTTGCCTGCTTTCTAGGATTCTCTTTGAGCTGCTTGTGAAGGCACTATTATTAATTTGATCTATTGTATAAAGTGAAATGTAAAATCCTTCTAACTGTTCATTGAGTTTTGAAGAAAGGGAGAGTGTTACACAGCAAAACTTATCAGAAATGAGGGAAAAGTAAATGTTAATCTGGGTACCAAAGGCTAAACAAAGACCTATGGAGGCAGCTTGTAGTAAATCTCGGCAGGTGGTGTCAACATTTATGTTGAAAAGCCAGATGCAGCCAGATGGAAAATTGCATCTTTAACCCCTGAGGTCATAATGACATGTCATCACTTCATTTGATCCCCCTGCTAAGTGAGCTTATCATCCACCCTGCTGTCACTTCTGGTATTGCTTTCATTTCCATAATAAAATTAAATTTAATTTGTCTGGTTTGCATGCCTTTTTTTTTTCTTTAGGTCAGAGCTTTTACAAAGCGCTATGATACATATGGCAGCCTCTCCAAGGGGAAGTTATAACTGAATTTGTATTTAAGTCTGAGCTTTTCTCCATCCTTCACGCCTTACTCCAAGCGCAAGGAGATGAGAGAGCAGAGAAGGGGCTTTGGGGAAACCACTAGTTGGTTGAAAGCTTCGATAGGGACTGCTCAGACCAGGGGAATCTCTGTGGGGTTGTTGCAGGAGAGCTTTTTCCCTCTGGCTGGTGGGGTGTTACGTGGCTGTGACCCCATGGGAGTTGTGTCCTTTACAGAAGTCAGAGTAGTGCACCCACTGACTCTGGCTGTGCTGAGGTTCCTTTGTGTGGCCTGCTGTCTTTCTCCAGTGTTTTCTGTTCCCCTTTGTGCCAGTCTCTATTCACATTGCTTTTTTTGTTGTGCACTGTTGTACATATGTGCCTTCTGATGGCTCAGCCAGAGATGCCTGCTGGCCACGAAGTGGCTACATGGAAGGCTGAATGGCTTCTGAGAGTCCTTGCCCAGCCAGGCCATTAAGTGCATTCCACATCCCTGCATCAGAGAACAAATTTACAATATTTACTGTATTTAAAATATTTTAACTAACAATTTAAAATATTTTAACATTTAAATACATTTAGTTTTAAACATGTACCACTTTAGTGTCAGTAAGTGTGTACTTTCTGTGTTCCTGGCAGTTTCCCAGGTGTTAGGACACTTGCTTAGGCACCGTTGTGTAGTTGTATACTTGCCATGGGTATGAGGAGTGCAGGAGAATGTGTTTCATCCCACATAACTTGTATTCTCTTTTTCATTATCACTATTTTTCTACTTACCATCTCACCTTTCATCTGTTTTGTTGCAAAAAAATTGTAAAATCATTATTTGTTGTACATTGTAGTAGCTTCAACTTGCACAGTTCAGGAGATCTGTATGTTAAGAGAGGTGAGCTGTTAAATTGCCTCAGCATGTCCTGTGGAACTGTGTCTGTGATTTGATTTGTTACACTGGTGTTTAGGCTGCTTTAATGTATATCTGCTCTCTAGTCACACCTTTGCTTATAAGTACGTCACCTTGCTAATGTTGGTGTTTGTAGGTATAACATGTCAGTTCAAGCATCGACTCTGCTTTAAAGTAAAATCCAGGATTCCTGGTGGCATTTATGGTCTGTGGAGAAGCTGCTATCTTTATTGGAGCTAACTAAGTTAAAGCTAAGTCAGATATTCCTTAGCATGTTATATTTGCTTCTTTTGATTTACAGACAAGGCGGACCCTAAAAGATAAGATAGCTTCATAGGTCTGTTTTCAGCTCTTTGTTACAATTGCAAGCTAGTCCTTGTTACAACATAATTACCTAGTCTGAAGCCAGCAGG